CAAGACAGAACAGATAAGAATCTAGTTTTAGACTTCTTAAAGAAAAATAATGCCAGCCAAGAAACTTTATATCTTGTTAAACTAAGTTTCATAAATGATGCAGAAATAAAGTCTTTCCTAAACAAAGAAATGCTAAGAAACTCTGACACCACTAGACCAGTACACCAAAACTGCTAAAGGGAAACAAAAGGATGATACTTGCTACCACAAAAGCACAAAGTTCACACATCCTACACAACAATTACATAACTGAAACTATAAAGCAACTAGCTAACAATACTAGGACAGGAACAAAACCTCACATATGCATATTAACCTTGAACATAAATCTTTAAAAGATATGGATTAGCAAATTGGGTAAGAAAACAAGATTCAACCATCTGCTGCCTAAAAGAGACCCACATAATGTATAAAGACATACACAGGCTCAAAGTAAAGTGGTGGAGAAAGATATATTATGCAAATGGGGAACAAAAAAGACTAGGAGTTGTGATTCTTATGTCAGATAAAATAGAGTTTAAACCAACAAGAGTAAAAAAAGACAAAGAAGGGTATTATATAATGATAAAAACTTCAATGCAACAAGAAGACTTAACTATCCAAAATATATACATGCCCAACATCAGAGCACCCAGATTTATAAAAGAAGTACTATTACATCTAAGAAAAGAAAAGAAAAAGCCATACAATAATCGTGGGAGATTTCAACATCCCATAGAAAACACCAAACAGATCACCAAGGGAGAAAACTAACAAGAAACTTAACAAAGAAACTTGATCCATTGGACTCTGCCAAATGGATCTAGCACACATCTATAGAACATTCCACCCAACAACCAAAGAATATATATTTTTCTTAACTGTGCATGGAACTTTCTCTAAAATTGACAATATGCTGGCCACAAAGCACATTTTAATAGATTTTTAAAAATCAACATTATATCAAGTATCTTCTCAGACTATAGCAGAATAAAATCAGAAATGAATATCAAAAGGAACCCTCAAAACCACATAGGTACATGGAAACTAAACAACTTCCTCTTGAATGACTTTAACAAAATTAAGGCAGAAATTTTAAAAAAAGGCAAACAAATGGATATAGAAACACAACATATAAAAACTTCTAGGATATAGCAAAAGTAGTAAGAGGAAAGCTCACAGCACTACTTTCATAAATAAAAAAGATAAAAAGATATCAAATTAACAACCTAATGATGTATCTAACAAACTATAAAAACAAGAACAAACCAAACTCAAAGCTAGCAGAAGAAAAGAAATAAAGATCAGAACAGAACTAAACGCAATTGAGACTAAAATATCACAGGGATCAACAACGAAAAAAGGTGGTTCTTTAGGAAGATAAACAAAATTGATAGACTACTAACTAAATTAAACAAGAAAAAAAGAGGATTTAAATAAGCAATCAGAAATGATAAAGGTAACATTAAAATTAATACCTTAGAAAAGATCATCAGAAACTACTACAAACATCTCTATGCACACAAACTAGAGAACTTAGAGAAAACAAACAAATTTCCAGAAAGATATAACCTCCCAGACCGAACCAAGAGAAAATTAAAATCCTGAGATCTATCAACCAAAACAAACAAACAACAACAACAACAAAAAAACAACAACGCAGGATCAGAGGAATTCACAGCTGAATTCTACTATATGTACAAAGAGCTGGTATCAATCTTATTAACAAAAATATATATTTTTTAAATTGAGGAGGAGGAATTCCTCCCAAACTGATTCTATGAAACTAGTATCACCCTGATAACAAGTTCTGGCAAGGATAACAAACAAAAAAGAAAACTATGGGCCAATATCCCTGATGAACGTAGACGCAAAAGTCGTCAACAAAATACCAGCAAACTGAATCCAACAACACATCGAAAAGATAATTCATCATAATTAAGTAAGTTTTATTCTAGGAACACAAAGATGGTTCAACATAAGCAAAGCAATAAATGTGATTCAGCACATAAACAAAATTAAAAACAAAAATCACATGATCATCTCAATATGCAGAAAAACACTGAATAAAATCCAACATCTCTTCATGATAAAAATTCTAATTAAACTATGCATTAAAGGAACATACCTCAAAATACTACGAACCATATTTGACAAACCACAGCCAACATCATACTTAATAAGCAAAAGTTGAAAGAATTTCCTCTAAGACCTGGAACAAGACAAGGATGCCCACTTTTGCCCCTCCTATTCAACATAGTAATGGAAGTTCTAGCCAGAGCAATCAGGCAGAAGAAAGACATAAAAGGCATCCAAATTGGAAAAATGGAAGTCAAATTATCTCTGTTCTCTGAGGACATATCTTATTCTTAGAAAACCCTAATTCCTCCAAGACTCCTGGACCTGATTAACAACTTTGTTAAAGTTTCAGGACACAAAATTAACACACCATAATCAGTTGCATTTCTATACATCAACAACGGTCAAGCAGAAAACCAAATAAAAAACTCAATCCCATTTACAATAGCCACACAAAAACATAAACTACTTGGCAATACATTTAAGAAGGTGAAAGACCTTTACAAAGGAGAATTACAAAACACTGAAACTGTAGATGACACAAACAAACGAAAAAACATAGCATGCATGGACAGGAATAATCAGTGTCACTAAAATGACTATACTGCTCAAAACAATCTGGAAAGTAAATGCAATTCTGATCAAATTACCAATGCCATATTTCACAGAATTAGAAAAAAACAATTATAAAATTCATATGGAACCATAAAGAGCCTAAATAGCCAAAGCAATCCTAAGCAAAAAGGACAAAGCTGCAAACATTATATAATCTGACTTCAAACTATACTATGCATCTAATGTAACCAAAACAGTATGGTACTGGTAGATCAATGGAGCAGAATAGAGAACTCAGAAACCAAGCCACACACCTACAAACAACTGATTTTCAACAAAGTCAACAAAAGTAAGCAATGGGGAAAGGATACCCTATTCAACACATAGTGCTGGGAAAGCTGGCTATCCACATATGGAAGAATAAAGCTGGACCCTACTTCTTACCACATATGAAAATTAACTAAAGATAGATTAAAAGCTTAACTATAGGACCTCAAACTATAAATATTATACTAGAAGAAAATCTAGGGAAAACTCTTCTGGACATTGGCCTAGGCAAAGAATTTATGATTAAGACCACCACAACAAATGCAACAAAACTAAAAGTTGACAAATGGGACTTAATTAAACTAAAGAGTTTCTGCACAGGAAAAGAAATAATTAACAGAGCAAACAGACAATCTATAGAATGGGAGAAAATATTTGCAAACTATACATCTGACAAAGGACTAATATCTAGAATCTGTAAAGAAGTTAAACAAATCAACAAGAAAAAAACAAATAATTCCATTAAAAAGTAGGCAAAGGGATATGAACAGACACTTCTCAAAATAAGACATACAAGTGACCAACAAACATTTGGATAACGGTCAACATCACTAGTCATTAGAGAAATGCAAATTAAAACCACAGTGAGATGCCATCTCATACCAATCAGAATAGCTGTTATGAAAAAGCCAACAGATAATAGAGAGGATGTGGAGAAAAGGAAATGCATATACACTGTTGGTGGAAGTATAAATTAGTTTATGAGCATTTCTCAAATAACTAAAATTAGAACTACTCTTTGCAATCCCACCACTATGTATATACATAAAGGAAAAGAAATCATTTTATGAAAAAGATACCTGTACTATCTTTATTGAGCACTACTCACAATGGCAAAGTCATGGAATTGACCTAAGTGTCCATCAAAAGTTGATTGAAAAAAAAATGTGGTATATATACACTGTGGAATACTACATGGTCATAAAAAGGAATTAAATTGTGTCCTTTGCAACAACATTGATGGAGCCAGAAGCCATTATCCTAAGTGATATAAAGCCAGATGTCACATGTTCTCACTTATAAGTGAAGTACACATGGACATAAAGATGGAAATAATAGATACTGGACTCCAAAAGGTGGGGGCTGGGGAGAAACACATGTTGAAAAATTACCTACTTGGTACAATGTTCACTACTTGGGTGACAGGTTCATTAAAAGCCCCAAAGTCATAATTATGCATTATACCCATGTTAACAAACCTGCACATATACCTTTTGAATCTAACAGAAAAAGGGAAAAAGATGACATCAGTGTTGTCTCCAGTGAGTGTGTGCTCCAGTGAGCATAAAGAAAATTACAGGCTATAGCTACATCATATAGAGTCAATAAGTCGGCAAATTATTCACATGATATCCAGAATATCTGACAGATAGCTACAATGGTGAAAAAAGTCTGCAACATTTAAGACATTCTATAGCGAATGGTACATTTTAAGTTGGAGGCAATGAATAACAAAGGAACAAGGAGAAAAATGAATGATCATATATGTGTAAACTGTCAAATAATTGGGATAAAGCATGTGAATTAAAAAACAGAATTAATGATTTCAAAGTGTCTTTTTTCTCTTTATGGAAAAAGAAAGTTATGCTTCTCTGGTTTTTGAAAAGAATAAACATACAGTGAAGTCAATTTTTAAAAGCAGTAATGTAGAATGAAAATCCATAAAGCTACAAAAAAAGTCACATAATTGTATACTAAAAAACAAAAACAAACAAAAAACAACAAACAAGCAAAAACAACAACAACAAAAAAACGCTGATCCCAGAGCAATGGCATAAGAAGCCATCCTTCTGTGGAATTCCTTAACATAGCTAGCTAGTAGGTAGATAGGAAGTAACTTTCCCTTCTAAAATGTACATATCATTTAGATTTACTAATTAAAACTACTGAAGAACTTGTATTTGAGCTATTCTAATGCAAACGTTTATGCCAAGGTGTCATTCCATTCTTGCATTTACACATGGGATCAAATAAATGAAATTCCTCAATTCCCATCTGCGTCTCAAAAAGTCACTGGCTGCTGGAAAACAACAGATATTCTCTCCTGGAAATGAATCAGAAGGCAGACCTTCATTCAGTAGCCAGCATATGATTCAGCAGAGCTTTGTATAAAAGTATAAAGTTCAAAAACAACCCCAAAAAAGCTCGGGAAGTAGTGGATTGTTTTTACCCCTCCTGGAATCACCACTGACAGTATCCATGAAGTTCTGACAGAAGAACACGCCAGGATGACAAAGTAGTGTCTTTTAAAGAGCAGCCAACAACAAGCACATAGGGAATCTTTCAACAAATACAGGTAGGAGAAATTCAAACGTGTGACATAGGTTTTTGTAACCAATAATGTGATTAGATGAAAAACAGGCAAAAACATTGGCTGTGACTATTTAAATAATTTCTCTGAAGAGATAAAATTTATTTAAAGAAAATATGATACTTTCTTCTGTGTCTCATAAGATTGCTATGCTTTTATCTTCTTGTCTTCACTAAGCAAAGGTTAAGTAAAAAGCAAATCATCTATAAACTCAATACTTTTTTTTTCTGGATTTTAAGAGAAGCTTGAGTAGGCGATTTAAACTGTGGAGGAAAGCATCCATGTAGATGCACAGGACTAACAAGAAAGCTATTGTTTGAAATGCCATATATCTTCACTGAGATAGCATGCTAAACTACTCCCACATCTGTACTCACAATACTAAACATCTCCCAACAATGAGAGATAAGCAGTATTGTCAACTGCAGATTTATTTGTAATAAAAACTGTAGTAATTCGAACTCATTATATTAATAGCTATTGAAACTAGAAAGTTCTTACAAATTCAGAGAAATTGACTTTTTGAGAGCTCAAGCTGCCGATATGTTGCTGCTTTTTCTTTTTAAAAAGGGGAAATGTCAAATGATTAGAAGAAAAAATTGGAAAGAGAAGTACTAAAAGATTTAATTGGAAAATATGCTATTCATTTTTCTGGATGTTCCTGTAACACGTGTGAGACATTTTGTTTCTGTACTTTAATGATATTATTACTAGTCTAAAAGATGTACAGCACAGAACTGAGAGGCTTTCAGAAAGATCCTGAGTAGGTAAGTCAGGTCAGCTGGGTGGTCTTATTATCAGTTTTTGATTTCTCCATGAGAGTCTGTTTGAACTAAAGTGCCTTTCATCTTTCCACCCACTCTCACCATTTCGGCATTCTAATTTAGTTCAACTCTTTTTATTCTGTTTTGTTAAAAAACGAGCCCAAATTTGAGGAAGGCAGGGAGACACCCTCTCTTGTGGTTTCATGTAATTTTTTGTTATGGTCTACTGGAAAAGAGTAACTTTAAAAAATGCAATTTCATATACACTTGATCCCCCATTGGACTCAAATCTCTTCAACAATTCATGTTAATATTTTTTGAATTTAAAAAACTATTTAGTTTTAAGACTTCATTGGTTTTTGGCAGGCAGCTTTTTCAACATAGTTTCAACTCTTTGAACCTGTCCCCACAGCTCTTTTCCCAGTGCCTGAGCTTTCAAAGACAGCAGTGGCCAAAGATAGCCACTTTGGAGGTGGAGATCCATACAGTTACTTGTCTAGGGTTCCACTAACCAAGTTATGCTGTTAACTGACTGGTCCCACACAATCTGACATTTTTATAGAAACCCAGAGCATTGTAATTAACTCAAGAGATATGGGGGGAATCCTCATTTTTAAACCAAATTAATAATAAAAACATGAGGTAGAGGGGAAAGGGGCAAATATCTGGGACACACGTGTTCCCAAAGGTTAGTTTTGTTTTGTTTTCCATATTCTCATACCCAAATAATCCATGTAATTGCACCCAAGACCTGGTCTCCCCTTCGTGTCTATTTGGTGGAAGGGAGGCTATGCTATAAAGTGAACACACTTAGGCAAAGAGAAAAAAAAATCCAAATAAACAAGCTATGATGAGGAAAATGCAGCAAGCCTTCTTGCCAGGGAGTGAGTGGCTGGTCAATGCACAAGGGGGCTAGTTACACAAACTGGCGTCCCACGGAGAACAAAAGGGATTGTGGCAAGAGTTGTGATGTAATGGGGCCGTGGGGTGGCCTGGTTAGAGGACATGAAGCACAAAGTTATTGTTATCTGATCTCTACTTTCTTCATAGATACCTTGGATATTACTCTTAAGTGTACTTCTTATTCAAAATATGCTGAAATTTAAAAACAAATATTATGAAAGTACAGTAAGAATATCTGCAGCATCATTCCATCTGACTTCCCTCCCCTATCTCTACATGACCATAGTGATCTTTCAAGGCAACTCCAAATTACCATTGCCTTCATGAAGACTTCCTTATGCCTTTTTTCATACATCTGCAATTAGCACATGGCATCAGTCTCCTCTTCCCTTACTTTGCTGATGTCTTCTTTAAGACATACTCCTTTTTCATTCACGTGCAGAATATTGATAGGTAAATACACATGTGATTTGGGATTGACTCAAAGTCATTTTAAATTGTTTAGATTGTTTGCTTTAGTCAAACTTCTTAAACTGGATTTAGTATGTATTACATGATATTCTCAAAATGTGATTTTAGGCCATATTAATTCATGGTCCTCCAGGGGAACCAGAAAGTAGCCACTGAATTCCAAAAGAGGTATTTGTGTTGGTGAGTGACAAAAACTAAAAAATGAAAACCACTACTATAAAGTGCTAAATGAACTGGTCGTTCATAATAAGAAAGATTATTATTATTCTCAGATTATCCCAGATGTCTGGAGTAGTTTGGAGACATTAGGAAACTATATAACCTATAACCATCATGTTAGTTGTCTAACAATACTTATAAGCTCTAAAGCCATGCAAACTATTTATACCCTTAACTAATCAAAACGTAGAAATATTTCAATGCCATTATCATACTCAGCCACATATTTTGCCATTGAAAGTAATGGTAAAAACTGTACCATCCTAATATAAAGTCTGTATACACCCTGTCAAACCAAAGTTCTGTTCTATCAGCCTCATTTCAAATAAGCATGGGGAGTAAAAGCAAAACAGAAAGAACAATGTGTTTGTATAGGGTTGTTTATGGTTTTGGGTTTTTTTTTTTAATCCTAAATGATGTTTTTAAATTTTTATCTTATGAAGAAAAATGATATCTTATTAAAACAATTTATTATTTTCACTCATCTACAAGGCATCACAAGGCAAGTCAAAGAATGTAACAAGATGCCTCTGCTAAGAGAAGTTATCTCCTAATTATTAATCCTGAGGCATAAACAAGTTAAACAGTACTTTGTTTTTAGTTTGATGAGTAAAATAACATAGAACAAATGAGAAATTATTTAATTCCATTATCAGAACCATCCAAATATTTCCCAGGGAGGACCTCTTCCTTTCATAATTAAATTAACCTGTAAGTCTACCAAATAAACACCATGAACACCATGAACACCATGAACAGTGTACTTTCAAACTTTTAAACACCACCTCACTGTTCTAGCATTTTTTAAAAAAACAAATACAAAGTTTTGTTTATTTTTTTTCATCAGCATTTGTTGGAAGACTTAAAATAAGGTTCACATAAAAATTCCAGAGCAGGAACATAATCACCTGTAGCAAGGAATATAATATGTCTGGGTGAATCTGTTGTCTGAGGCCAGGTAAGAAAAAAGTCATAACCATGTCTCCTTCTGCGGGGAAACTGGATGACCATGGACAGTGCTAGGATATAGGAACAGAAAGAAATCCGGTCCTCAGTGACAGCATCTTTTAATCTAGACAAAATATAACTATTTTTAAATTTCACACATTTTAATTAAGTGTTAACACTATAAATAACTAAAAGTAAAATCAATAGACTCATCGCTATTCTGAGGGGGCAAAAGCACACTACAAATCAATGTTGATTTGAGAATCATGTTTTAACACCTCTTTAGTCAATCACTTCAATTAGCCCATCACCAAAATAAGTCTAGAAATACTCCCCTTAGGCATGTATTGTACATTCTATTTTCAAAGATAAGCCATGCATTTTCCAAATGCAACACATATAGCTTTACATGGCAATGGTACTTGAAAAATCTTTTGGCATGTACTAAGACTTATTCTTTCCCTTGATGCTTATTTTGCCAAATTGCATTTCTGTACTTGTATCTTCAAGAAAATCCACAGAGAAAGTAAGAATCAATACTTAAAGGGCAAAACTTTAGTTTACCAAAACTTAGCCCCACAGGACTATTCATGTCATTGCATTAAACATAAACATGAATATGACTAAACCCATAAGAAAGTTATTAGGCTGAACCATATGAAAATACCAGCATGTGACTGTTTTTGACACCAATGGCAATTTCATATGTAACTTTTATATTCCTGAAGCCTAACTAAGAACCTAATAGAGGTAACTGTATTCCTGAAGTCTAAGGACCTAATAGAGGTAACTACATTCCTGAAGCCTAATGAAGTAGCTAATACAGGTACTTATGACCTTGACTCAAGGAGACTTAAATTAGAATAAAATGTTTACAACTAAAAATTTAAATGAATAAATGGCATATTATCTTATTCTGAACTCTAATGGAATAGAGACTCTATAAAACACTATGCTTAAAGATAAAGGAATGTATCATCTGACAACAGATATTAGATCTAAAACAGAGCTAAATTTGCCCTCAAGATGTTTGTGAAACTTTTAGAGCTGATGTTTATAGAGAGTCTGTGTTAAGAACGTGATGTGAAAATGTTCTGATCTTTTACGTGTCTTATATAACATATAAACAAAGCTAAAATTGGACAAGGTTATAAGTTTTATGATTTTTAAAAATTCTTAATTCTTATTAACCTTACTCAAAAATTATGTTGTATATTTGTAGTATGTGTGAATTTGTGTACACACACACACACACACGCGCGTATTTTTGTGTATATATTTTTATATTCATATATCAGGGATTTTATTAAATGTTATACATTAGCCAACCTCAAGTGATTAAGATTTTACTTCTTTTCCAAAAACAATGTAGTTCAGCCATCTAGTGGTAAAGTATAAAGCTATCACTCCTCTGTATTTTATTATACTGTAAAAAAAGATTGGCAGTATGGAGAAGGATTATAGGTTATTTAAATCTACTTTTCCTTTTCTCTGGTGACCTCATAGAGCACACTCAAGAACTCAGAGGCATTATGAGTACAGAAAATACATCACTGGACTTAGCAGTCTGGAGCTTCTGGTTGACCTTATCAAGAGCAATGGAATGGTGCCAAGATCTGTATTAGAGTTGTAAAAGGAAACAGAAAAGTATGGAACATTCTAACCAAGAAGTATGGCTGTGAAAAGATGGGAGGAAAAGAGAAGAGAAGAAACAGTAGGGCTGAAGAAGGGTTGTCTTTTTGTTTTACAGCATTCAAAGTCTTCATTATGTTAAGGAATTAAAATAAAAGGCCTGGTAAAGAAAAGAAAGAGAATAAAAGTCCCATGTGAAATAGAGAAGAATAAATCCAGTACACAGGAGCCAGACTGTCTTGGAGAGATCATGGTGACTCTTTCTCTGGCGTGGTGGGGTAATCACCATAATAGATGGGTTTAAATCTAGAGAACACAGAAGTTCAAAAGTTGTTTTCTGATTTTTTTTTCTTATTTTTGAAACAAGAGGCAAGGGAATCTACCTCATGGTGAAGAAATGGGAGGTAAATGGTACGATAAGTTGAACAATCAAACTTAAAGGTTGTGTGCACCTTTAAGGTGTTAAAACCTTAACCACTATTAAATGAAAAAAATTAAATAGATAGCTCCTGTATTTTCCAAACATATTCTCATTTCAAATTCCAAATTTTCAAACTAGTTTAAGAAGTCAACTATACTGAAAGTATAATGAAAATGAAGGCATTGCATCCTTTTAAAATGGATTTTGACATACAAACCTCCCTCTACCTCCTCCAAAATTTCCATTTAACCTTCTCCTTTGTAAGGAAGAGTATAACAGAATCAACCAAGTTACTATAATCCTGCATCTTAGTCAACAGAATTAGCTTAGTAAAATAGTGTTTTCAATAAAGTTGGCACCAATAATCCCTAAATTAACATGTTCTTATAAAACTTCAGAAGCCAAAATAAATAACTCAAGTGTTTCAGAACAAAAGAATATTTGATGAGACAAAACTATCAGTTTATTAATATCGCAATAACAACAAAAAAAGAGTATAGTGAAGCATTTTGTGTTTGCTGTTTTTTTAAAAAAGCTTATTTGCTGTTGTAGACTAAGCTGGTATTTATTATAGAAAAGCTAAAATGAACATACTTAATTCCCATTATAAATGGGAAAGAGAAATATAAAATAATGATTTCTAACATATTATCTGTAAATGTAACCCTAAATCCACATTTGTCATTATTTGCGTGTACTGCATTCTCTTGATAACACTGTGAATTTTAAAAGCATAACAACAGACTACATATATACATTACTTAAATTTAATGGTCTTATATTAGCAAATTTAAACAAGGAGCAGCATTGTAAGTGCTCAATGTATTTCAAGAAAATAAGTAAATAAATGGATTTCGAATTCCAAACCTTCCAAATGGATAAAGAAAATTTTACTCTACATATGCCTTTTAACTATACTATCACTTAGAGGGTAGAAACCAAAAACAATATGAGTTGAAAATATGGAATCTTTCTTCCAGTGCTACTTTGAGAAAAAATTTAAGAAAAATATGTGTAGTAAAAATGCACTTGCATGTATGAACGTGATCAAAGATGGCTGATATGCTCATCAGAAGGCCCACATACTCTGATCTTAAAATGTGAGGTTTCGGAAGATGGCTTTATAGGTGATGGTGCAGGCATTGAAGCTGGCAGGAAGATGGGCTGGATAACTGCCCAGAAGCAAAAAGAGGGCTGAGTCAGTGATGCAAATTGCAATTAGGAGCTGTAAATTCTAATCCCTGAGCAAATTCAGAAAAATGTAAAAACTCAGAGATGTCAAGATTTTTATAAATGAGATAACATTTTAAATGCCACAAAGAGTTGTTACTGTCATCTTATTCGCTCACTTGTAAAAAAATCATAAAATATACAATCTGCAATGTTTTACTTATAGAATTTAAATGTCAATCATAGTACCTAAAATCAACCTATGTAATGGTTAAATATGAACACTGTATTAATTACATCACTAAAATTTGATGTGACATTGTCAAATTCACATTTGATATGCACCAGATATATAAGGCTCCAAGGTTCTCCAGCTTCCTTACCTTCAGATATTTTATTAAATTACAACCTTATATAACAGACAGCAATAACAGCAAACAATATCAAATAAAAACTAGCTTACAAAAATACTGCTAGACTAATGCGCCAATCTCTACAAGTTAGGGAAAGTACCTAAAACTCACTCTTGTCTAGGGACTTCTCTCTATTTCCACTGCACCAATCTAATCTAAAACACCATTTTCAAGGCCAGGCACAGTGGCTTATGCCTGTAATCCCAGGACTTTGGGAGGCGGAGGCAGGTGGATCACTTGAGGTCAGGTGTTTCGAGATCAGCCTGGCCAATATGGTGAAAGCCTGTCTCTATTAAAAATACAAAAATTAGCTGGGGGTGGTGGCACATGCCTGTAGTCCAAGCTACTTGGAGGCTGAGGCAGGAGAACTGCTTAAACCCAGGAGGTGGAGGTTGCAGTCAGTCAAGATGGTGCCACTATTCCTGCCTGGGTGACACAGTGAGACTCCACCTCAAAAAAAGAAAAATAATTAAAAAAACTTAAAAATAAAAAAATAATTTCTTAACTGATCTCTCAGTGGCCATGGGCTCCCTTGGTATGTTCTCCATATTAGAGCCATAGTAATGTTTTAAAAACCTACATCTAATTAGGTCATTCTTCTGTAAAAATCTTGGCTTCTCATTGTCTTTGTCAAAGACTTGATGTTTTATCAGGGCCTAGAAAACAATATGATCTAGCTCCTATTCTCTAAGCTTCAACACTTATGGCTCACAGGCCTTCCTTTTGGCTCCTCAACAGTACTTTGTGGGGGAGATGTCAAAGGGAGTAAAGGTACAACAATGTAGCAACAGTTTCAACCTTATCCACCTGTGAGTAGGGGAACATTACACTTTACATAAAAAGCCATAAATCCTAATCCTGGTTATTCGTGCAAATCAAATTCATTATCTCAATTTCCTCACCTCTAAAGAAGGAGACTTTTAAAAAGGATTTCTATTTGAATCTTCAAGCTGGCTGATTTCATAACTCTTTCACCACTTATTTTACATGGAGATTCCAGATTCAAAAGTTCTACCCCAATATCTAAACTGATTTGGTGCATCAACAGTAAGTTCAAATATTGCCTTTTTAATTCAATGTCTCCATCAGACATTTGGGCTCTTTCGGAAAAACAGTTTCTCCAATAAAGTCTACATACCCTTTCACAGTCATCCTTTGGTTCACCTTTGTTAAAAGCGCTACTTCACTATTCAGATGCCACTCTGTTTTGAAAGCTCCGTCTCAGACTCAAGTTACTTATCCTACTAAAGTAGCCTTTAAATAGGATAGTGTTTCTTAATATTGGCATGGTAATAATTCAGAAGATCATAATCCTAAAAATGAAAAGCCAGTCCAATAAAGACACACTGTCTGATTTCCTGTCATACATACTGGAAGAATTAGTATATAGAAATGGCTTATAATAGTCTGAAATTTTGCAGTGATGAAAACACATACTTAAGCTATTGATTATTTTTAAAATTCTTAATTTAAAATTTTGGAAGTCACCAAGTAACTTAAATTGTGTCAAACAGCTAATAATATAATCCACACCTTCAAATTCTGAACCAAATGTATAATTACTCCAAAATGTCCTGCCAGGCAAAATATATTTTGAGAACTTTGTTGACTTACTGTCCACTTGAATTTATCCATAGATTATACACCTGTCTTATACTAAAAAAAGAAAATTTAAAAAACGCCTGGAATGGGCTAAAAATCCAAACATCTAGGAATATCTACAAAGAATGATCAATTCTTATCACTTAAACGTTTAGTAAAATTTCTAGAGATTAAAAACAAAAGACTAGCTTCTTAGAATAAGTTGTAACTTATAAATTGGTATCATATAATAGATATATTTTAAAAACATTTCTTTGGCTAGATCCTTATTTTGCCTGTTATGCTTTACTTTTGACTTATACAAATGACTACCTGTAACCCACTCAAAATATGGGTGTAAAAAGTCAGTACGCTCACATATATCTGAATAATAAACAGTATTTTGCTCAATTACTTATCTCACATAGAGAAAAACAAAAAATTTCTCAAAAAGCCATTTTAGTTATTAATGACTTTGTTATATAAACCATCCAACTTTTAGTCATTTCTTAACAAAAAAACTGAAATTCTAAAATAATACATATGATAAACTGTTATCATAGTAATACTTCTATTCATTAACATGTCCACTTTCTGAGTACGATGAAAACCAATATTCACAATGATGATCCTAAGGCACTGCAAGATTGAGTAGTACCGGCAAAAGAATATAAATTAACTATAATTTTAGGATATCAGTTGTCTTATCACTGTATTCAACCGCTCCAAAATGTAGACAATTTTTGATGGCATGTATGGTAAATTGCAATGAAAACAAATGCTACAATATTTTCTGCTTTGCTTTTTGTCTTTTCATAAGGATTTTAAAAAATATGATGTTTTGGAATAGATTATACTTGATACAACATTCAAAATGTAAAGACTGGCATACAATGAAAAGTAAGTCTCCCTTCCACCCCTGTCCCTAAGCTACTCAATTTGCCTCTCAAGAGGCAACCACTCTTACTAGTTTTTTTTTTCTTATACAAGGATATGAGATATTCTGTGTTACATACATATCAATTATATGTATGTATTTTACACAAATGCTGTATACCACATACTCTATACACTTTTTTTCTACTAAATATATTTTGGATGTCTTTTCATAACATAACAAGTTGCCTCCACCTTTTTTTTTTTTGGTGGTTGTTTTTTTTGTTGGTTCATTTTTTGAGACGCATTCTCGCTCTGTCGCCAGGCTGGAGTGCAGTGGCTTGATCTAGGCTCACCGTAACCTCTGTCTCACAGGTTCAAGCAATTCCCCTGCCTGCCTCCACCTTTTTAATGACTGCTAATGTAACTAGTTCTTACGAATGACTATACGAACAGTTTCCTTTTTCTGCTACTACAAACAATGGTATAATCAATAACCCTATATATACATCATTTGCACATTTGCAACTGTAACTGTAAGATAAATTCTTAGATATAATTCTTGGGTGAATGTGCATTTAGTATTTTGAAAGTTTATATTAAAGTCTTATAACAGGTTCTATTTGCAATTACAAATAAAACTACATCTTTGAATAGGTTTAAAGCCATTTATATATTTTTTTCCTGTAAACTGTTCATATTCTTTATCCATTACTCAACTGGGTTACTGTTTTGCTTTAAATGCTTTTTAAAATAAACTTTTTATATATTAAGTCTATTAGCTCCATTACATGAATTAGAAATTTTTCTCCCAGTTGGCCATTTTATCTTTTTTTTTTTCGAAATGGAGTCTTACTCTGTTGCCCAGGCTGAAATGCAGTGGCAGGATCTCAGCTCACTGCAACCTCTGCCTCCTGGGTTCAAGCAATTCGCCTGCCTCAGACTCCCAAGTAACTGGGATTACAGGCACACGCCACCGCACCCAGCTAATTTTTGTATTTTTAGTAGAGTTGGGGTTTCATCATGTTGGCCAGGCTGATCTCAAACTCCTGACCCCAAGGTGATCTGCCCACCTTGGCCTCCCAAGGTGCTAGGATTACAGGTATAAGCCACCATGTTTCGTCCCAGTTTGTCATTTATCTTTAACTTTACCTGTATTTTTCTTTATATGCAGAATGTTTTTTTAAAGTCGTCAGATTCATACATCTTTTCTTTTATGGTTATGGGTTTGAGGTCGTATTTCAAAAGGCCTTCTGATTACAGGATTAAAAAAAATATATATATATATGTGAGTATATATGTGTGTGTGTATACATATATATCTCTATATACATATATAATTTTCCCCTATATTTTCTACTGGTAGGTAGGTTTTTTTTTGAGACGGAGTTTTGCTTTTGTTGCCCAGGCTGGAGTGCAATGGCGTGATCTCGGCTCACTGCAACCTCCGCCTCCCGGGTTCAAGTGATTCTCCTGCCTTAGTCTCCCAAGTAAGGGATTACAGGTGTGTGCCACCACGCCGAGCTAATTTTTTGTATTTTTAGTAGAGACTGGGTTTCTCCATGTTAGTTAGGCTGGTTTCGAACTCCCGACCTCAGGTGATCCACCCACCTCAGCATTCCGAAGTGCTGGGATTACACGTGTGAGCCACTGTGCCCTGCCTTCAACTGGTAGTTTTATAATTTTTTTGTTAATGCATAGACTTTTGATCTCTGTGGAATTTATTTTGATATTAGGTATGAGGTAGGGCACAACTGTATTTTTTCAGATGGCTATTCCTAGGCCAAACACCACTTATTGAATAATCTGTTTTCCACTGATTTAAAATGCTTTCTTTTTCATACATTAAATTTCCCAGTCTTTTTGCGTCTATTTCCGAACTTTCTATTCAGTTTGAATACCATGATACTTAACAATATAAATCAAAAAGATTTATAGCATACTGAAGTTTAAGAAACATAAGTTATATCATAACTACAGGATACTATAAGATACAGATAAAGTAAATATTTCCTCTAGATTTATTCCTATTTAATTCATTTAACCATAATTTATTTAACCTTCTCTTCCCCCTGGCACATACTTTCTTTTGTTAAGGAGAAAATTTCAGGTGACCAGCTAAGAATTTCTCTGGATTTAATCCAAAGGGATTTATTTCCCCCATTTTGAGTGAAGCAACTCCAATTATTTACTTATTGTCCAGGAGATTCTGAGAAATTCCTTCTTATCCCTTTTATCTGAATTTGGGAGGTCAAAGTATGATAAAGCTTATTTAGCAAGCTGTCTAAAAAATCACAAGTAAATAGCCACCATTGTTCTGCTGCCTAGATAACTTATTATTTGCTTGATTCCCTTTTAACCGCATATTGGACTTAAATCTCCTTTATCATACCCCAGAGACTCTCCCTGTCTCAATCTGCCTACCACACAAAGCATGAAAGTTTTTTTTTCATCAGTATTAACTGTAAACATAATCAACAGTCAGGCTGTGGGACTTATGGCTGGTAACTGTGCATATGTTAACTGTGACAGGAAAAGGAGGAGGGCATCCTTTCACTTCTGTGCTGCTCTCCACAAGTAAGCAAGGGAAGATTTCTACCTGGCACAGTGCTCTGTACAACACTGCATACCAAATTGAAATAATTACCAAAGACAAAATGGGTGTTTGCTGCTCTTCACCACATAAATGTGAAAAGAAGTTCAGAAAGTATCAAAAATTTTGTTTTGTTAGTAAACAATTTTGAGTTCAATAACTGTTGAAATAGTAAAAGCTAAATAAAAAACTGAATTGTTTAAGTGTCTGAAAATCACCGATAAATTTAAAAATGAAACAAACTTTTATATTTTATAGAATGTAAGATACAAATTTGTTTTTCAGATCACTGGGGATACTTTAAGGAAAACTCTAAAATGTTAAGAGCAGATTATGTAACATTGGTAAATAAACAAATATTAGGTAAGAGATGAAGAGAAAATAATCTCAAGAATAATCAATAAGATGACAATAGCAAGACAGGACTTCTAATGAAATAACATAGGACCCATTTTAATCTCTTAAATAAATGTGAAACTTGTGGATATATCTTGAAGCAAGGATGTGGCCAATCTTCTTACTAAGAGATGATAAAGAAGAGAAAAGGTTTTGCATTTTGAAAATCAGCATTTCTTTTTACCATCAATTTCATGTTGTTGATTTTTTAAGCATTTCATAGTGAAGAATTATTAAACTCAGATCTTATGATCTGACAAAACTTATGATAAGGCAAACACTTTGTTGCCCATTCTTTCTACCATATCTCATCTTTCTAAACCAATTCTTTTGGGGACATTTAATAGTAAGCAGTTAACAACTGTCCTCTGTTGAGGACAACTGTCCAGCTTCTCATTGCAGAGGAGAGTTTAAAGGAGCCTTTAATCTATTATAATGCTTCAAGACAGAAACTAGAAGTTCTTATGTCCTATAACTTTGCTCATGTATTAGATTTAAAGGGCATTCCATTTCTCATGTATCAATCTGATGTATGAATGAAATCTATAATTGGTGCATAATACATTCTCTAATTGAGCCCTTTCCCCTCAGATCACCTCTTTACTGCTGGCAACTAGCACATTTTAAAACAAATCCAGTAACTTTCAATGCCATCAACCTAACATCCCTTGTTTGAAAATGTCTGTTTTTGAACTATGTGCCAAACAGAGCTCTCATTCTCCTATCATGCATATTTGTGGCTGGGATGTGGTGAACTAGCTCAAAGTTGTCAGGGACAAATACCATTGGCTCACCACTCCTGGTTTACTTCCTGCTATCACACCCAGTCCCTTTAGGGAGTATGTTACTGGTGTGAAGTCTAACAAACAGTTGTCCCAAAGTCTGCTGTGGATTACAAATAAACTCTAAAAGTCTGTTTACTAACTTATTAAAAATCAAGGTTAATTTAAATACACCCAAATATTTGATTCTAAACTTAGAGTCACATATTTAAAGTAATATAGAAAACCAGGAAAAACAAATTTAATAGAATTAGTAACTCAGTATATATGAATGAAAGTTGGTGCTCTCCTTTTACACCCTGGCTAACGTGGTAATACCCCATCTCAGACGGAGTCTTGCTCTGTCGCCAGGCTGGAGTACAGTGATGCAATCTCGGTTCACTGCAACCTCTACCTCCCAGGTTCAAGAGACTCCCCTGCCTCAGCCTCCCAAGTAGCTGAGACTACAGGCATGTGCCATCACGCCTGGCTAATTTTTTGTGTTTTAGTAGAGATGGGGTTTCACCACGTTAGCCAGGATGGTCTCTGTCTCCTCACCTCGTGATCTGCCCTCCTCAGCCCCACAAAGTGCTAGGATTACAGGCATGAGCCACCATGCTCGGCCTCCTTTTACACTTTGATGTTGTAACAAGAATATGTTCGTTTTCATACTGTCTATTATAAAAAGGATTTCAATTACATAAATCCCCAGGATATTCAAATATCTGACTGCAGAATACCTGACACTACCAATACATGAACTCTGGATATCCTCATTATAAAAATATAAATAACTGTATCTATTTGGCAATGAGTGTGAAAAATCACAATGATAAAACTTAATCTTTCTAAGTTTTTTCTCAATTTATATAAAGGTTTAAGACATTCTACTCACATCTGCTAATTTTATTGACTGAATAATTTATTTCCTAGGCTAATCCATAAAACAATGACTTTTTTTAAAAAAAGTTATATATCAAACAACCAAAATGAAAAAAAAAAAACATAAGGCAATAAAATACTGAATTAACAGCAATAAAAAACGGCACACTCTCATTCCTTAACTATAGCTAACAAGGACAGTGTGACTTGAAAGTTTTCATAAAATTAAAAAAAATTTTTAAGTAGTAGAACTAATTCAATCTGAACAAAAACAAAGGGGAGGAAAAATGTAGTACTATCTCTTTTAACATTATCTGCGTTTCTTAAAATTCCCTTAGTTACTATCTATGCCAGAGGCAAATTTATCAGGCATTTTGATATTATTTCTAAATATTATTAAAAATAACAAAATCCTGTCTCCAGGAATTTCCTAGTAACGGCAGAAGGACAGAACCATAGTTTCCTTCCAAATAAGACACAAACCATAATGTCTATAATTTTATCCACCAAATTTTCCCACCATGATGCACAGAGAATAGTTAATCCAGATTTTTGGATTTTGCTTTGGAATTTGCTTTCCATGCATATATGAGGAAACTAGGACAGATGTAACAAAGGCCTTAGAACATGAAAATAACTTTTAGAACTGATAAATACCTTACATCTTCAATCTGAAGCAGATAGTTCACAAGAAACAAAAGAAACAAGAAAAGCAGTGCCAAACTCTATTTTTCAAGGTTGGAAGAACACTATTAATGTATTTCACTGCTTCCTTCTTATCTCAGCCACTGCCATCAACCTCTTTATGCTATCATTCTATCAAGATGCCCAGTTTGCTAAAGATATTCTTGACTCAAAGGAAGAAAGTTTTTACCACACACTATACATTAAGTATCTCATTTTCCTGTACATGTTTAATTTTCAGATGCTAACAAATTTCAACAAAATGATCAGCAGTAAGTTATAAAATCCTTTAACATGTTTTAGGAGTGAAACATGAGTTTAAGAATAGAAAACTAGCATTGATGATATATAATTAAATATAAAACATGAAATTTAGAAGAGATGCTTTCAAATTAGAGTATATGTGGTTTTTGTTTTTGTTATTAATTTTTTTCCAAATCAATGAAACCTCTAATACCTTGTCCTAAGTATATGCAAAATAAAAACTTTTTTAAGTTAAAAAAAGCAAAAATAGAGTTTAATCAAATAGTTTACAGTGTTTTTGCCTTTTACAATTAAATTACTAAATTTGGTCCCACAAACTCTGAAAAACAAAATGGTAGAACTGTTAACTTTACTAATATTAGTTTCATATTTTAGAAAGAGTACTCGTTTAGTTCCTACAAAAACGTAGTTTTATAAATATCAAAGGAATAAGATCCCAATATCAATTCCGTTTGTTATCATGTACACATCAGCTATTAAATGAAAATGAGAAGTAACAAATCTTTTTTGAGTTTTCATCCAAGTAACTTTGTCAGAATTTTCCTGAAATAGGAATTCCTATATATTTTCTAGACTAGAAACATCTCACATTTACAGTGTTTTTTGTTGTTTTGTTTTTGTTTTTGTTTTTGGCAGAAAATCACTTACTGAAATAAGATACTATATAAGGATTTTCAGTAATTAAATGTTTATCATAATCCTCAAATAGAAACATTCTCCCGTTAGAAACTCCAAAAAAGAAAATGTGGTACTAGTTACTATCACATAAGAAGCAAAGTAATCTTTTCTTGAATTCAAATGTTGAATATAAACTTCTGTTAGTTACTTACACAGAATCTTTGCAAGTAAACCTAGAATTGGAAATTCTAAAAAAAGAATCGTCACCTAATTCTATTAGAGAAATGATAGTCATGAAAAAAAATTAATGAAACATTCTCTACCATCATTCACCAAGGTGCCAAGTTTTTTCTTGAATATAAAATGACTTGGAGTTTCACTGGAAAGTTAGGAAAAGAACAATATACGTAATTTATTGAATCTCAATGAGTTATTTTAAACAATGGAATCCTTCTTAGATAGATGATAACACATAAGATGCCCTAAGAGAGTGAACATGTCACAAACTGAAAGAAAATATCTGCAACACATATAACTAATGAAAATCAATATCTAAAACATGTAAGAATGCTAAAAAAAAAAAAAAAAACACAAAAAAAAAAAAAGAAAAAAAGAAAAAAAAAATGAGCAAAGGTACAAACAGGTATTTGAGAAAGGAGTAAACACAAGTGGCCAATCAACATATGAAAATATGCTCACCATCATTTAGAATCAGTATCATACAAATACAATAAAATGAGACAGCATTTTACAACTACTGGTTGTCAAACTTTGAAGTTTAGACGACACCAAGGAGGTGTGCCCTTATGCCCTGGTGGTAAAATCATGAAATGATTTAGAAAATAATATGGAATTAGCCAGTAAAGCAGAGAAATATATTTAATATTCCACTCCTGGGTATACTTCATAGAAAGATTCTTTTGCATGTAGCCATGAAACATGTACAAGAATGTGCATAGCAGTATTATTTTGGATAGTAAACAGAAACAAGCTAAATATCCATCACAGATACAAGAAATTCTGATAAACTTATACCATTGTAAACTACAGGGCAGTGAAAAATGAATAAACAGCCCCATACGTCAGTATGGACAAATCTCAAAAACATAATATTACATCAAAAAAGTTAAGTTGCAGAAGCACATACATACAATATAATTCCTTTTAAATGTAGAGTTTAAAAACATGCAAAAAAGTTACTGTGGGTGGGATGTGGGGTGGTATACTTTCTACAAGGACAGAGGGAATAAGAGACTAAGCATAATCAAGTATATGGGAAAACACGGGGAATAGAGTTAGGGAGATGGCATAGGGGCTTCAAAAAGAATTGTAACGTTAAGTTTCTTTTGCTGGGTAGCAGATACACATGTGTTCATTGAATTAATATCCCTTGCCTTTAGCATAAAATAATGATATATACTATATACATATCAAAGTTTCCCCAATTTTAAATATTGAAAAAAATGGTTATCTGTTCTTGAAAATTGTGGAAACCAGCAAAGTAAGGCAGAAAAGAGAGGTGTGATGTGGCCAGAAGAGCAAAGGAGGTGCTCCCACTCTGAGAAAGTGTATTAGCTCAGTGTAACTGCTACCACAGCATTTCAGCTAGTTTATAAGGAATAGAACATAAGCATAAGTTGATGGCTTTAGGTAACAGTGAAAGGAAATTAAACAAAAGAGGAATACTTTCAAATACCTGAGAGCACACACTGGTGGAAAATGCCAAAACAGCCTTTGAAACTGGTGTCCAAAAAAAGGGCAGCATTCAACTCTCCACTCTGCCACCTACTGGCTTTATGAACCTGTGCAATTCCTTAACCTCGTGGGCTTCAATTTCCTTACAAAATAACAATGATAATATTTATCACGTAAGTCTCTTGTGGATCAAATGAGAAAAGCGATACACCTGACACGA